ATGATCAAATGGTACAACATCTGGAACCAGGCGACCATGCACAGCGTATGGATTTGTGCCACTGGATAAAAAGCTCATCCCGAACTGTTAAGCATCATTTTATTCAGTGATGAGGCGTTTTTACCCTGGATGGTGTAAATAATTTACGAAATGTGCATACGTGGTTCCATAATAATCCACATGAGATAATGGAAATGAAATTCCAAAAGAGATTTTCTGTGAATGTACATTTACAGTTATGTGGTCGGGTTATAGCGCAGCCACATTACGTCATCGCTCGCCAGTCATGTGTCATGTATAGTGCTTGGAAACCCTAAGGACAATTATGACATGGCGAGCGAGTATTTCGTACTTCAATTTTATGGCTTTCCATCACTCACAAGTTAGTTTGATGTTACGCACATTTTTAACATTACAGAATCCACATATTCCTGCCAGTTTTAATATGTATTTTGTAATCAACAAGTGTGTAACACCGGTTAAAGTTTGACACTTCTCTGGCCATTATCTCCGTAACCGTTTTTGGACATAGGTGTTTTGGGTTATATCAGCATACGTTAACATAAGGAACACCCTCCCGAAGTTTGGTCCATTCCTCCTGGGACACCCTGTATATACAATATATAAAATATTAATATGGTGTAATTTCCTACCAGAGAGAACACATCCTTAGCTGATGTCATTCCATCACTTGAAGCCCTTAAGTTTTCAGACTTCTTCCTTCTAGTCTTTTGGACAGCAAGTCCATGAGATTTTGGTACTGAAGTAGGTGTCCTGCTCTTATGTTTTACTGTGGCAAGGCAACACAACACAAACACATTACAAACCAGTAATCACAGATATAATATACGTAATGTAATGTAATGTAAGTGCTTTGTTTAATACATTTTACTATGCTTCATTTGGAATTTCTGCTGAGTTGTTATGCATAAATGTGAGCCAGTTAGCAGGAAAAGCTATAAGAGCAGTTCACAGCAACTCCCCACTGTTTCATACACGTTCAGGTCATGATGAATGTGATATTCAATTTAGAGCAAACTGTAGGATACCAGGTCACATTTTAAGTGAATGAAAATTCAGTTAATGTGAGACTAGTGAAGGCTACCACTAGGGTTTTAGGCACTGCTACTCCAGTCTGCATTTGTTTATCTACGTGTGTGCACATGCTGCTATTGCCTGCTGTAATATACGTTACTTTTCCTTATCTGTTTTAAGACTTGCCCTTAACAAAATGGACAAAAAGATTCTGTCGGACAAAAATATGATTGCAAAAAAGGAGAGGCTACTTATTACGTCAGAGCAAAAATTTGATGTGATTGAATGACAAGAATGTGGCCATAGCAGCTCTAAAATAGGATGTCTCAGAATGTCTGGATCTATGGAATGGAATATAATAAAATACGCTGGGGAACTCTACATCTACAAGAAATAGAAGTGTTATAACAACAGAGCGTCAATTAACTTTATGGACCGAGGATTACAATCAAAACCGTATTCCCCTTAACAGAGCAGCCATTCAGACAAAAACCTTTAAATTTGTTTCAGAGCATGAAAGAAATAAGTAATGAAATATAAGCATTTAACCAAGTGTTGGTTGGTTTGGTCGATTTAAAAATAGGGACACAATAAAGATGTTTTCGTCAGTCTAAGCTTAATTTTAGGAATATTTAAATTTTTTTGTTTTCATTTTGTTCTCTATAGTTACTCTGTGACTTTGTTAACAATCAATTTAAATCATAAGTATATTCTTTTTATCCTTTACTCTAGTATTTTAATAAACACATACAAACTTATGTTTAAAAATTTTCATTGCCTATTTCCATCGATTTGGAACAAATTACCATATTTCATAAACAACTTTGAATAATGTGAATTCGAATAATGCGACCACTTCATGGGATTCATTATCTGCACTAGTATTATTCTTGTTGCAGCGTGTGAAGTAGAGCCTGAAAGAAATTGTTCTGTATTCAAATTTAACATGTCCAGGGAGTGAAGATGACCACTCACCTCCATCCACTGCAGACATCATGAACAGACGGATCTATACATCCACTCTCCCACATCTACATGACATAGTACACAACTTTACTTACATCACCAAATTAATCTCAATAATAAACGTTCTCGAGACAAAGCCCTCACAGACTATTTTATACAGCAAAAAATTTACCAAACTATCATATGTACCTAGTGATGGCCATGTGGGGCCAAAACATGTCGCTGAATATACATGAAAGCATGGACTAAGTGCTGATTCAACCAATGTAACTGCTCATTAATCTGGAGTCCCACAATTATAAGATACTATGTTATAAGATCTAGATAAGGGGAGATACCCATTCTTGCTATGCAAACAGGCTGTAGCCATCTGTGCTTTTCCTGGGAATTCAGTTAAGTTTAACATGACAGCAGAGCTTTGGATCTGATACCTGACATCTCAGTTCAGCGATAAAGTTTACGAAGGATGCTACGAGCACTATAATTCAGTGTGCTGTCCAAAGGGCAGTTGGTGTCCTAAGAGTGAAAATCATGCAGCAGCTTTCGCTGATTGGATGATGCAAATTTTTGAGAACTCGCAAGTCTTAAACTAGACCAATAAGACATGTTTACAGGAGGCTCCTTATAGCGAAGTTGAGGGCCCTGCATCAGAGCAGGGGAGATCCCTGAGGGACTCTGATTCCAGCTTCCAAACATTCAGATGCAAAACCTGCGTTCCTCAAAAATTTTAAATTAACATATTAGATGAGCCTTTATACTAAATCATCAGAAGACTATGGCGCAAATTTTCACCACAAATTCAACTTGAACTGCCATAAAATGTTTGATATTAGTGAAATGGAACCACAGTTGATGACGTATCAGTGTAATCTCCTGTAAGTGCTGATTAGTAAATCACAGTTCAATGCCAACAGCTGTCATTGTTGTGTGCAAGTGTGTGCCCTAAAATGTTCCTCCTGCCCTGCTACAGCAATGCCCGTTAAGATCCAAGGACAGATCGCTTGTTCTTCCAGAACCAACCCTGAGCTAGCCACCTCATTACCTATCCCTACGAGAGTTGGGCTTGTAACTACTGGTGCCCAAACAAGACCCTCAGCCTTCCCTACCCATCAGTTCGACACCTACGAAGGGAAAGTAGATAACGAGGAAGATGGAAAAAGTGAGTTCTATAGCCACTGAAGTAGTGTGACATGTGTGGCTGTAGCAGAAAAGGGGCAAAACAATGGCTATAAGCGGCTTCTGACACGGCACCCTTTATTCCCACAGATGGCAAGAGGAAAAAGCTGTTAGACCAATAACCTACTGAAGATGCACTGAAGACTGAACTGTGTGCGTACACACATATATACATCTATACTTATCCACTACAGTTGTTTGTTTCCAAGTTACACAAAGTAAAAAAGAGAAACTCCATATTCTATATGCTTTCAGTAGGGTGATGTTTCCATGATACAGCACTTGCGAACTTTTCTTCAATACCACGCTGTCAGTGCAGAAAGACACACAAGTATGCCTCAATATCAGTCACAAAATACCATAGTCATGAGCCTAAAATGGTACTCCAGTAGTACAAAAAGATATGAAACAGATTAAATCCTGGATGGTGAAAGTGAATAATGGCTAGTGACCAAGATAAGAAATGAGTTTTACAATATAATGTCACATATAACATGCTATCAAACATTTATTACCATTCATGTTTCTTGGTGGTAGGGGAATATCTTAGGTTACGAGTTGTCTTCCCACTCAGGTATATGAACAAACATTAACTTTACATGTGTTCAATTTTTCTTTATTGCTTAGTGGGGGCTGAAGTCCAACTGGGTTTCACTAGGCACAGCGGCCACTGACTGGCTTATTGTAGCCTGCCCCGGGTGATTATGACGATGGAGAATTTGGTGGAATGAAGATTGGCAGGGGAAACTGAATTACTCAGAGAAAACCCACCATAGTACCACTTTGTCCACCACAAATCCCACTTGACCTCACCCGGGATCGAACCCAGGCCACCGCGGTGGGAAGCCAGCAACTAACTGCTTGAGCTATGGCATGGCCTTACATGTGTTAATAAGACAAATACAGCATCAATTTTGAAATGTGCTGTCGTTCCTATACCAACAAGTCAACTCATGCACCACAAATGTGAGCCCCAGGTTCGTATAGAGCACATACCAAGCATGTGAGCTCAAGTGGCGAGACTTCTGACTTGTATTCGGGAAGTTCCTAGTTCAAATCTCAACTAGGACACCAAATATTTTGAATGACTTCCCCTCCTCCCATAATTTCCCTACACCCCCCAAAGCAAATACCAGGACAGAACATTACATAAGCCATACATACCAACATTGCCAGGAAGGGCAGAAATGAAACACTCCACTTGCATTTCATGAAATACTAAGAGTGGCACTGAGAGTTGAAACTCTCTACAAATGTACATCACAGGAACCCTTTACCTTTCAATGTGTCAGTCACCCGTTGAGGCGAACTGGAAACCACTAACTGTGGAGTTTTGGGCCGTGAACCTTTTCCATGACACACTAACAAGGCAGCCATCTTCTTTTTATCAGGTGTTTTCGGGCTCTCCAGCTTCAACCTCTTAGCAGCCCTTTCTGCTGAACGAAGTCCAGATTCACATTTCCTTTTCCTTTCTTCAGCTGATACAGCAACTGGTCTCTTCTGTTCAGATTTTTTCTACAGAATCACATATACAACATACTTTAAATCACTATATCATGTTAGTGATTTCTAATACATGGCAATTCACTTGCAGGAGGCTAAAAATTAATAATTACAAATCACACAATAATTTATTAATGAAAATGTTACTTGGCAACACTGACTAGGTGCCTGCCTGCCCGGTTTGTGTCATATCCTTCAGTTTGAGATCCTCCAACACAGCTACTGCAATCCCTCTTGGCACACTGGTTGCAATAACTGTTCATAACTGAGCATCACGTTGGCCTGCATGAACCAATGCAGGGAAACTAATTTTAAAATCTTCTGTAACCGAATTATCTCCACAGGTACCAATGCATTAACTTGCCAAGTTCTGTTTTCACCAGTTAGTGCATGACTTAAGAACATGAATTCAGGGACTCTTTGAAGTAAATCACCATACACATCAAAGATTTTGTAAAAAAAATCAAAATGTGATGGCTAAGTCAAAATGTAACCTCATGAAGACTCTGTCAGTAAAGATAATAGCAATGGGCTGGGCATGTAAGGTCTTGATTTCTGGCAGCAGAACTTGCCCCTGCATGACATCCTAAGTCCATCTACTTCATGAACACAGAGTATGTCATACGAACCATCACGGAAGGAAAGATTCACGGAAATACGACTGAATTTACCACAGGCATATGACAAATACCTTTAAGTATGCTGACAATATTCCAGTCACTTTCCAGTATCACTGTAAACATCAATTCACTAACTGACCATGACAAACTCGTTCCCACAGTAGACAGGGTACACAAGTTGCTTCCTTCATGGTACAGGAATGGATCATTCATTCATTCCCCTATTTTCTTCTTCTATGTTACTTTATATGTACTGTTTGACAATCTCACTGGCCCACTTACAGTCAATCTTCTGCATAAACATTCACCATTATGCCATTGCATAATTCTACATACTACTACTCAGATCCCTCTACAATTTATCAGATGTTTCATTTTACTTAACTCTATGCTGCGTTATTAAATAATGTCTTAACTTGACTCCACTCTCTTCAGCAGAGAAGCCGCAAATGTACGAGGGCTTTGATCCAAATACATGCAAACCACACATCCTGATTAATATGCCTTTAACCACAAATGAGATATGTGGTGAGAAATACATCACATATTTCTCAAAACTCTGACATTATGGTTGATGTCTCAATCACAAGGGAAGATAAGGATACAACAGGAAGTGTAATTACAGTCGAGAACAGGAATCTTTTTGAAAGTGAAACAGTAAAGATGTATATCAAAATATGAAATACCATGTGAATGAGTATAGAAACAGTTAACACATCTGTGAGCTGACTGTTTAGAGAATATTGTGACGTGCTGCGCTAAGGTCAACAACCTCCCCCCACCCTCCGCCAGCAGTGATGTGCCGAGCGGAGCCGAAGTGAGCCGAGTCCAAGCACAGCGGTTGCTAGGAAAAGTGAGTAAACAGTGGTGACATAACACAGGACGCCACAGTTGCTACGTAGCCGTAAAAAACCACAACAGCGTTGCTAGGCTATCGGCAAACACGGTGACTAGGCAACAAGGAAGCAAGGTATTTCCCGTTGTCCGGCTGAGGGTTTATAAGAGAACTACACTGCCTACGAAGACAGTTGAGTTGAAATGTAGCCGTCGCCAAAGAGAGTTAAAGTGTAGCCATCCCTGGAGACAGTTAAAGTGTATCAGCCGCCAAAGTGAGTGAGTGTTCAAGGCAGCAGCCACGGAATTGTAGTAGTGACCGAGTTCAGTTGTAACGAGTGAATCGTGATAGTGTGAAGAGATTTGTGTGAAGGGTTTGTAAACTGTGGAAACCCGCAAGAGTGTTGTAATTAATTGTAGCCAAGACTTGTAGGTTGTTAAATAAACGAATTAACAATCTGAACGGCGTCATCAGTAACTAAACACGTTACAATATGTATGAATCTCAATGTCTCACAACCCTATGGGCCTTCATGGCATGTTACAAGGATACCTTTAGCTTCTTTACCTTTACACGAGACATACTTATGGCAGGACTGAGAATGGACAATGCTTTCTTATAAGGGAGAAAGAGCAGAAATGGATACAACAGAACAGAGAGTATGAAGATGATTTTCTCATATGGTAAGTCACCACGATGGAAATGTCAGGATGAACAACTTCCAAGAAAACTGACAATCATAGTACAATACTACTACACTACTTAATACAATCCTGGTACAGCTAGTACAATATTTCCAGCACTTGTCTGACACCAACATATCACACCCACAATATTATATCCCATGCAGCCAATGCATGTTCTAATGGTTAATACTGTTCAGACTTCAAAATGTGGAGATTTGGAAACTTATGCTGTCCACATTACCGTTTTTACAGATGAGACTGGAGTCTTCTTCTTCTTAAGATTTCCACCTGATCTTCTGCTTGTCTTTGCGCTTTCAGGTGTTTTAGCACGAGAGAGCCTTGACACAGATTTCACAAGTGTTGGAATCCGGCTTACTTTTGGCAATGGTGTACTACCAACAGACTTCCTAGCCTTGGAACTTACTAACGGAGCCTTTCTATTGGTCACCAACGACTGGAAATTCAACCAAACCACATGTTTACTATTTACAAGAATAACCAAAAGTATACAATTTATAACTGACCAGTTTTCCCTGTGAACATCACACAATTCTGAAAAAGAACCTTATCCTCATTCCATGGCAGAGCAAAGTTCCAACCAATCATGACTGAGGTAGTGTTATGTTGCTGAGAGTAGAAAGCTGTGAATTCAAGTCATCTATGCAAGGAACAGTAACACTGATTTCATTGCATATTTCCTTTTAATGCAAGCTGTAAGACTGGAGATGGGAATCTTAAAAAAAAGTACCCAAAAGATTCTAATTCTTATGAAAAAGGTCACTATATTCCAGAACTATCAATGTGGCAAACCCTAGGCCCCATGCAGCCAGCAAGACTATCCCTTTATTCCCGTATAAAAAACTTTCAGAAAAGCATTTACTAAATACGGTGACGTGTTGCGCGATGGAGGACACCCCCTCCCTCCCCAGCGGTGACGTAGCAGGTGAGTCAGTGCTTCCCACCCCGCACTGTGACGTGGCATACAACGCCACTGTTGACATGGGCAACAGGCAACAGCGAACGGAATAAAAGCCGGCTGAGCAGAAAGCTGGGATTAGTGTGTGATCAGGAGTGACACAGTTAGTCAGCAGTGAACGAGTTAATGTGTAGCGGTCACCAAAGTGAGTTCTCAAGGCAGCAGCTTACGAGTTGAGTTGGAATCTAGCCAGCAGTGAGCAGTTAGGAGTGAGTGGAATTGTAGCAGTCACCAAGTTCAGTTGTAACAAGTGAATCGTGATAGTGTGAAGAGATTTGTGTGCAGGGTTCTAAAGTGTGGAAACCCGTAACATTGTTGTAATAAATTGAAGCCGAGACTTGTAAATTGTTAAATAAACAAATTAACAATCCGAATGGCGTCTTAAGTAACAAAACACATTACACTGGTGTCAGAAGTGGGATTGGACTTACACACGTGACCAACAAGATTCGAAATCAAGACAAGTGACAATTTGGTGTCAGAAGTGGATACTGAATTTCACAAACAAAAAACAAACTCCGTTGTTTTAGTCTGCAAGTGAACTATACCAAGCTAGCGACCACCACTTGTCGGCGAAGTTAGTGCCAACTTTAGCATATAGATGGTGTCGCATGATAAGCGCAACACATCCCCATGGCCGTTAAATTCGGTTTTCTATACTGAAGCCACTATTTCCATAAAACAGCTCTTCAATTATCCTCCTGAGTCTGAGTGGACCCCATTCCAGACCCACTACTTCTCAGAAAATCTGGTAGCGCCAGGAATCAAACCCCGATCTCTGGATCTGCAGAAAAGACCTCTGACCACTAGACCACAGAGGCAGTCTAAATTAATTTCACATGGAACCTAATAAACACGCCACAAAATCATGGACCTAGCATGACTCCAGTATCTTATGCAGTATCACTACAATCCAGCAGACCTTACAGTAAGGATCACTGATACAACAAATTTTAACTTAAATCAAGATTTAAGTTTATGGATAAAAATCCTATATGTAGGCTTGTGCAGAGAAGTATGCAATTTTATCTCCTCCAGAGCAAGAGAATAACCGTAATGGACTTGAGGATAGAAACGATTAAAACAAAGGGCGACAAACCTCTGCTGGATGCGTTCCAGCTTGTTGGCATAATCGAATTCCAAACTACGGACGCATAGTCAAGCTTAGATCTAACTAATGCAGTGTACAAGCTGAGTATACAGTCTAGATATGAGAAATTTAAAGTAATGTTATGAACTAGAGCCAACAGTTTAACAGTGAGAGAAAATGCAGTTGACCTGGTCATGGAAATATAGTTCAGCATCAATAAACACTCTCAGGTCTTTTATAGAATTGAACCAGGCTAAGGACAATTGACAAAGTTTATAAACATAGATAAGTGCGTTGGTTTTCCTGGAGAAGGCTATAACTTCAGTTTTCCTTATGTTGAGTTTCATACAGTTAGCAATGCACCAACCTTGTATAGAGTTAATGTCAGCCTGAAGTATATAACAGTCCTCGGTAAATTTTGATATCATCAGCAAATAATAATAATATGGTCACTTTCTTACGCTGGGGACCAGTTTGCACCTGTGCAGAAAGCTACCATACTACAAAGCTACACAAAGTAAAAGGCATAAAAACTACGGTTACCTGCCAAGACCGTACATTTTGAAATATTTTCACATTGTTGTAGGACTCTGTTGCCTTCCTTGCAGATTTACTGTACAGCCTGCTAGATTTCCTGCTAGATGGGGTAGAATCCATTCTCTTGCCTGAGGACTGGTTCCTCAGTTCTGCCACAGTCTTATCAGCTGAAGAACTCACATTTGTAACAGGCCCTGCAGCCTAGAAATTACAGAGAACAGACTGAAGTACTGGGAGCTAAATGGAAAGAATGTCATAAGGTGTGTATGTGTATATATATATATATACACGTGGTACAGTCATTATGTTCGTGGAATGCAGTTTTTCTTCGCATCATATGACAAGGTATTCACATACACTTACGCAGATCCATATTGGCCCTCAAAATAGTTGCCCTTGGCCACTATGCAAGTCTGCCAACGTTGATATAGCTGTCAAAAACATTGCTGAAACATATTAGCAGTAAATTCGCATACAATGCTTTGCAGTCATTCCACAAACTTATTGACTGTGGTAGAACACCTTCACATTTCTCATCCAATGTGCCAGGACAAATGAAGAAACCAAGCAAACAGCTTGCAGTCATAGGTACTAAAAGAAGAATAACAGTAGGGCCAGATACCTGGATGCCCACCTCACCCCTGGCTCCCGCCCAAAATTTCTTCTAAGGCAAAGAGCATTTTAAGGGGGGGGGATGAGGCGAATAAAACTGCCGAAACTAAACAACACACAGATTTAAAAACTGTAGTGTAC